CCCCAAAACCCCAAAACCCCAAAACCCCAAAACCCCAAGCTAGAAATATCTATTGAAGATTACGAAATATATCTTATTCAAAGGAAATGGCCTCTTCAAAGTTAAATTTCTCTTGAGATTTTCTTGAAACAGACGGAAATTTCATTGAAAATAAGTTGGTGGCAACTCCGTCTCCTGCTTCAAGATCTGCATCTTCACTAGCACTGGTAATGAAGCTATCAAGATGGGGTGCACTAGAGAGACTCTCTTTGACGCTCCAGACGTTCTGAAGGGTTTGGATTCTATAAATTTTCAAAATTTTTTACCTATTACAAATCTCGTTATCAGAGCAATTGCCAATTTCCTTATCGAGCTCAGGAGTTTCATCGACCAATTTCCAGTCAATCTCAGGAATAGAATCCCTGAAGATGCTTAATTTACTGCTGAATGAAGAATCTCTTCTAATTTTATACAAAATGATTTCTAAAATTTTGATATTTGTACTGCTGGAAAGTCCAATTTTTGTCAAAAAGTCAATGTCATCCTCACTAAAATCATCTATTTTGCTCTCATCTTCGAGAATGGTCCTCAAAATAGTCGAGAAAGTTAGCTGGATCTCTGATTTTCGATCTTGATAATTGCTACATCTTTTTAAGTGTTGTACGAGAGCTTGGATCTGACTCACTTGTGGTACCATCATGAAGATTTGAAGCAGAGTGCACCTCATAGATGTGCAGTGTAAATTCTTGAAGCAGTTGTCAATTTTTCCATCAATTTCACCTTCGAGAATAAGGATAAGCTCCTCCTCAGTGTAAAGAGACCTTGTAATTTCCTCATAGTTGTTTCTTTGAGATAAATTCATGTTTATATTTATCAGAATTGAAGAAAGGATAATGGTAATCTCATGACAAATCTGAGACTGATCCCTTTGCCAGCTCTCCATTGTTCCAGAATAATACTCCTGAAGTAAGTCAACAGAGGTCGGATCGTAGGTGATGTAACCTCCATCAGCCTTTTGAGACTCTCTTGGCTCAGGACGGTTTTCTGGCATTCCATTGTTATCGATGATGTAAGCCAACCTCACTGATTTATTATATCTAACCTTGAGAAGTGAAAATAAGTTCTTTAGGAATAATATGTTGTCTCAATCTAAAATTTGGGGAGCTTTCTTGTTATATACTCTCAAAATTATATCATCACAGATAAGTTCTCCTTTAAGTAGTGGGTTCTTAAAAGGTTCTGTAGTAGAATTAGTTAAAAACTTACTCTTAATAGCATTTTCTAAAATTGAAGGGTCTTGCAAAGAATTTTCAAATTTGATAGGCATGATAAGCTCTTTAATAGTCTTAGTGTTGGTTGAATCCCACACAACTCTAAGACTTTCAGTATATTCTTGATCAAGCCTAGCCACTTCCTCCTCAATAATATCCTCAGCTAAAACTGATTAAAAATAGTTACCTTTCTTAACCTTGGAAGAAGACTTCTCATCAAATTCCATTCCATGGAAATTAATGTAACTTGAGTTTCGGTTGGTGTTTCTTCTTGGACTCAGATCTCCATCATCTTTAACTTCTTCTTTTCTTCTAGCATCGTGGAAGTCAAGAGGCAGGAGTGCGTCCATCAGTTTTCTCCCGTATTGGATTATCTCATCGTTCATATTCTGTAGGAAGAAACTAGCTATCATCACTTTGTATCTGAAATTATTTGTATGGAAAATAGATTTGAGGAAGAGACCTAAAATTCCTGTCTTCCACAGATGTTCCTCGACACTGAATAAGTGATTATTTGTGATTGCTTGTAAGCACATCCGGACACTTTCAGTCATCTTTTGATCAGTTTGATCTCATAGGATGCCATAGAGAATTTGGCAGATGCCTTCTGGTTGGGTAAAATCATCAACACTATCAAATTTCCGAAGAATATGACTAAGAATTTCCATTAGAATACTGGCAATCTTCAGTTCTTTACTCTTCTTTAAAGTTTCCTCAGGTCTTTTCGATATAAGTATTGGAACTAACTCAATAAATTTATTTTTCACCTTTTGTTTCAAGGTCTGGACCATTTGAGAGGAAATAATATTTCTTATAGCAAGTAAAATATCAAAGCAAAGCTGGTCATCATTCTGTACTTCATAAAGTTTAGAAATAGATTTCTCTATAAATCTTGAAGGGTCTTTGACAGTAAACTCAAGATCCTTATTAAGCTGCTTAATGTAAATCCCGTCTACAACCAAGCCTTGGTCTTGAGCAAGGTAGCTGAAATCTTTATAAGGGTTATCAACCCAGTAATCCTTCTTGCTCTGTGTCTTTTTAACCTCCTTTTCTAGTATATCTTTCAAGATTCACTTGTGATTATCATTCCAGATCAAGTAAGGAGTGCTAATGTTTATAGAATGGTATAACTCCAAGAATTTGAGAGAGCCGTCATCTTTATCGTCAATGCCAATAATTCCCATGTGAATGAACTGGACTTCAGAGGTTAGTTCTGCCATCATATATGGGCCTATTAACGAGAGTCAGGCTTCGTAATATTGAATCAAGGCCTAGAAATTAGTCAAGATTATACTTTTTCATCCTCTAGTTCATCTGTATCATGATCTTTAGACTCTTCAGCGCTGCTTGGTTGCTCTTTAAGATAATTTCAATGAGAAAAGAATAGTCTATACAAATTCAATCGATCTCATACCTCAAAGATTTAGTGAATATTGTCTCAACTTTAGTAGGATCAATGATTGCTTTCAATGAGCTCATGCTAAAGTCATTCAAAAGAGTTAGGAATATTTTCCATAAAAGTCCAGAAGTCACAAATTGTTTGTGAAGCTTAGTCTGTGTGCAAATTTCCTGGATCAACACCCCAAGGCTAAAAATGTCACACCATGAACTTACAATTTAAAGCTATGTAGAATGATATATCCAGCAAATGGGTCCTCTTGCTTTACCACAATATCCATCAAAGGGCGGGAATTGTAATTAATAGCAGGGTTCTTTGAAAAGACTATATTTGTAATTGTGCTTCTCCCTTTAATCAGGTCATGAGAACTCTTAGATTTAGATCCTAGTTTCTTTTTCCTTGGACAATAATTCATAGACTCAGATCTCGAATATTTACGTGTCCCAATCTTGATTTTCTAAACAGCTTAAAAGATTGACCTTACAGGCAAACTCGGACTCTCTCTGAATTGAGAAACATACTGAGAGATTCTTTGGACTAAAGATTAGAGAGAATGTTACCCTGTGATCCATCTGTGAATCTTGCTGTATTTGAAGATCTAATATCCTTTGATATGATTGGGGATTCAGAGTTCTCAAATTTCATCATGAATAAATTTTGGTACAACATATCTAACTCAGAGTAAACAGTTGAGATTGAAGAGATTAAGTTTCAACATTCAATTGTCTCAACTATTCAATCTGGGTAATTTGAGATTACTAGTTTTGCTGTGTTGACCACCTCGCTTAATGTCTCTGCTAATGGCAAGTAGAATCCATAGGCTTTGATTCGTTCTTTAATAAGACAAGTGATATCTTCAAGTTTGCACACAAGATAGCTAGCCTGCACTGTATAAAGATCCTTCCACTTCAGTGATTTTCTAATCATCTCAAAGAAAGTTCCAATAACAACCCAAACATAAGGATTATGAGGATTTTTACTCTCAATTTCAATAATAGTATCAATAAATTTTACTTCTAGAACCTGTCTGAAGTCGAAAGCATCATTAGTTTTCATTATAACCTGGAGACAGATAACAATATTCTTCATCCCTTGCTTGAGGTTCTCCTTTTTCTCACTCAAAAATTCATAATCTGTGTACTTCTTAATCAGCACCATGACCTCTTCATAAAACTCATGTAGCTTATCCTTAGTCATGGGTATGGAGGAGGCATTCCTGACCCACATCCTTGCATAAAATTTCTTGATTTTGAGCTCATTATCCAAAGACTTGTAACATACTTTCTCCCTAAACCTGTTCAAATACATAGGAAGATTTCCTGGAATCTTATAGAATCCAAACCCTTTCTGGAGGAAGGCAAGCAGCTCATCCAAGTTTGGCTTGAAGTGGGCTTGCAAGGTATTTAGCAAATGCAACCTGCAGTCCTCGTTCCAGATTATGTACTCATTCTCAATCTTCTCGTGCTTAAAAAGATTGGAAAAGGTCTTAGTGTCCTGGCTTTCGTACATATCCACCAAAGTGGAGTGAATAAATCTGAATAAAACCGAATTCTTTACTTTTTCTTGAATCTCAAGGTCTCATAAATCAAGTGTTGACTTTTCCTCTTCTGAAGTTTGAGTCTGATAATCGAGTTCTTCATTATAATTCGGAAATGCAGCAGAGATCCTACTTAGAAGTGTCAAAGCTCTTCGAGAGTTCTTAGTAGGCAAATTTAAAACCAGCCCTTCGATTATTCCATTATCATACAAGTTCTTCAATGCGAAAGGGGTGTGGAAGTGTTCAATAAACAGATTAAGCACAGTTTTTGACAAATCAACATTTTCAATAAATAGCAACATGATTAGAACGTTTATAGATCTCTTTTTGAAAATATAGTTAATGAATGCTGGTAGAGGAACATAATTATCAAACTTGATCATTTCCATGAGATAATTAACAATATTAACAACCAAAATCCCTTTAGAAATATGAATTGAGTTTCTCTCAAAGAATGTCAAATTCTCTAGCTTTCCAGTGTAATTTGCCATCTTAACATCATATATTTCAGATCCTTCTTCGCTAGAGTTCAGTTCAGGCTCGATTTCAAATTCTTTGAATGTAGAATTGAGCACTCCAAAAATTGCAGTCATTCCATTTGCCTTTTTGAAAGACTTATAATTGGCTCTAGAGTACTCATTTAAAGGGATGCTCAGTGACACATAGATTAGTTGGAGAATCCAAAAGTGCAACTGGAAAGCTGATGCTTTCGTAAGTTGCTTTACCCAGAATGTCATAGTGTTCAACTCCTTTATCATTTGGTAATGCTTCTGATACAGATTAATCAATACTTTGATGATAATAATTTTTTCATCCAAATTTTCACATCATATAAATCTCTCGTTGAGCTGGCTCCAGAAGACGATTGGAGAGGTGATCACTTCAATAAGATAAGGTACCACAGGTTTCTCATTCAGAAGCACTGAGAGGTAATACTTGCCAACTTTATAGTAACTCCTTAACGATTTCTTATAAGTAATCTCAAATTCATCATTATTCCATCTGAAGTGGTCTGTAGTAATGATGATATTCTTGTCCTTGTCATAATCCAGACTAGGATGTACCATCTTATTCAATTTCGCAGCCTCCTTGAGGTCTCTTTGAGTTGAAAGATAGCCATCAATCTCCAGTAGAATCTTATCCATCAGCTCTTTCCGTGTATGCTTGTTCCACTGCTCAGTAGCTGTATTGTAGTTATTACCCAGGTTCTCAAAGAAGGCCTTCCACTCTCTTTCAGTCCAGGAATATCTTTGAAAAAGTTCGTCAGCTCCTTCAACTTTGTAGAACATTGATTTATCGAACATTTTCATGATGAGCTTAACTGCCTGTTTATTTTTGTATAGAATGTTGCTTAACAAAGATAGAGACTCTTTGTTCTGCTCTTCAAATTTACATGACATTAATAAGTAAATGTTCCAGATAAACTGCACTGAGTAGTTCAGAATATAGTCCTTACAGTGCTCCTCCTTTTTACGATCTTCCTCGTTATTAGACTGTTGGTAATAAGCCAAGGCTCTGTTGATCAGCATCGTAGCTCCGAATGACACTGAAAAGTTTCCCTTTAGAGCCAATCTATCTAAAGAATGGAATAGGGATTTATCGTCACCCATGATTGCATCTGCGATGTACTTATCGTACTCATGCGAGTCGTAAGATGAGCCAGTGGAGCTTGTGTCCTTGATAAGCAGCATTAAAATCAAAAAAGCTCCGTTTATCTCCAAAAGTTTTAACTTCTCAGGATGAAGAGATGCTGTCTTATCACAGCTTTTAAAGAACTCCTTTAAGTGGCCAACCAAGTCTAGCTTAGGGTTCAAGATTCTTTGCTTGTTTGCTCTCTCAAGCTTTGCATTTCCTGGACCAGTTCTCATCACCAAAGACGATAAAAACTGAGCTGCTTGACAAGAGATATAAGTGTCCTCAAAATTCAATGAGTTCATAATGACAAGAATGAGGTTCTCTTGATTTCAAAATTCTCTAAAATATGCCTTGGAATTGGCTAGAAGACGACAGAAATTGAGCATTTTAGAGTATAAAATCTTGAAATAGAGATACCCATCGACATTGCTCATATTCTTTGCTTTTGTACAGACTTCTCTCTTTTGCTGAGTGTCTTCCAATTCTAAGATTACTTGACACCTTTCTTGATCTTCTTGGAACTTGTTAACCATCTGAGTGAATATATATGGAAGGAGGCCTGAAAGAATATCCAAAAGTTTGCTAGATACCTTCGAAGTATTTGTAAATTTGCAATTCATTATAGCCTCATCCAAAATTTCAAAAAGTCTTGGATCAAAAATATTGTCAACTTCTGCAACATTCTCAAACTCTTTAACCATGTAAGCATCATAATCATCAATGCTGCTATTGCAGGGCATAAGGATGTAGTACTTCTCGAGGTATTGAGTATCATTGAGAATAAATCTCATTTCATTCAAGTAATTTTTAGTGATTCTTCTCAAGGTGATAATGACACTAAGAAGTTCTTCTCTCTTCCTATAATTCAGCCTTATCTCGATCTTCTTAGTAGCACATTTAAAGATCAACCTGATGTTGCACAGCTCTGCATGATTTCTAACAATCGGGAGTACATCATAGATATATCAGTAATTCAGATCCTTCAAGTAAGCGCTGATGATGATCCCAGTGCATGAATTTTTAAGAATGTGCAAACTATCCCTATCTATTCTGATATGGACCTTTCTGATATTATTAAAAGAGTCAAAATAATAAGCTTCATCTGAGTATACTAATGATGAGAACACCGAGTTCTCATTAAAATGATTTATCACATGGTTGATTTGCTCTGTCAAAGTCTCAACGTTATGTACCTCTATTTCCTTGTTAAGAATCTCCAATGCGTTAGAAGCTCATATGTTAGCTAAAGAGACGAGGTCACTAATCTTCTTATCATCCTTTATGAACTTGATAACCTCATAATTCTCCTTCAGGATAATTAGGACATTATGGTTGACAACAATCTTCCTGATTTCAGTGAGGTAGATACAATTCACAGCGTATTTTCCTTCGTATCTTGAGTATTTCTGCACATATTCCTGCCCGTTCTCTCAAATATAGTTGAATTGGTTATTTATGACAGTTGTACCATATGTATGGTTAGATTTCAGCCTTGTCTCATTCTCCTTACTAAAATTACAGCTACTTTCCTCCGCGATATCAGAGGGAATAATGATATCAAGATCCTTAGTGTCTATAAGTTGCTCTTCAGTCACCTCTGAATCCATTGAATTTAAGTAGAACTCCGCATTTGGAGTATCTAAAGCTTTAAGTCTCCAATTATCTTCTAACAAAACATCTTCCTTCTTTTTCTGGAATATCGGTAGGCTCCGCTTTTTCAAAGCCTTATTCGATGTTTTCCTTCTTGATCTATTAGTACTAGTAAGATCATGTCTAGGGAAGATCTTGTCTCTGAACCGCTTAATGATTCCCTTGGTGAACACATATTTCAAGCCAAGTATTTCTTCTATATTCCCACTAGTCTTCTTCATTTCGTTAATATTTTCTGCCAAAGGGACTCTCACTTTGAGAATAGATTCGTAGACTTGGATGCTGGCTGATTGCGAAGCTGGATGGGCTAAATTTTGCCGAACCTTAGCTGGATTAAGGCTATATTGGGGTAAGAAAATTATTGGGGTTTACTTACTTGTTTTCATTCTCAATATTTGGATACATATCGTAAATCAGCTTACAATAAAATAAGTCTCAATCTCAGCTCTCCAAGTACATAGAAACTTCATGCTTAAGCTCACAAATTAATATATTTCTGTAATCACAGCTGAAATCATATTTCTTTTCAGCAATTATCGAAAAATCTGTCTCATTCTTATCACTCGCTCTAATCTCTTTAAAGCTCTCATAATGGATACTTTGATGTTTATTCAACTAAACAGTCTTAATAACTCCCAAAAATCACATTTCCCAAACAAATAACTCCCAAAAGCACTCCTAGCCCCTCTCCCTCTACCCTCTTTCGCCCTGTTTATCCTAAATTACCTGAACAGAATAATGAAGGTCAGCATTAGTATTCTGGATGATAACCCTATCCGTACAAATAGAAAGAATCTGCTTCTTCTTCCCATAAATAAACCCTGCTTTATCAATCAGGTACTTCGATATTATCTTGATACTGCTCTTATCGTCCATTTGTAGCAAAGAGGGCTTTAATATATTATAACTTGTGTGGGGTTTTGGGGTTTTGGGGTTTTGGGGTTTTGGGG